CATATCCACTGATATGTTTGCTTTCTATGTTTCCTGAATCTATGCTTACACGCCGGCTAGTATATTTTTAGTATATTAGAGTGCGTGCACATAAGAACTAAATGACAACATAAAACACTAAAAATATGTACAATTCCGAGGAAAAGTGTGTTATTGCCCCGTCCCAACATTAGTAGCGAAAGCACATAATGATCACAAGGCAAATAGCAAGTTATTGATCAAAATACATTCATAAATTATTATTTCTAGGAATACCAGAATAATCTATATCATCAGTTTGTATATACACTTTTATCAAATAATCAAGGAGAATAGTAATATAAGAAATGGAAATTTGAATATATGATTTTTTTCTCTCAAGTAATACCTTGCACAAAAGAGTAAATAAAGACAGAGGAATATGGCAGCTTTGCCAAGGGAGAAATTCAAAGTAGTAAATTAGAGTGGAAGAAAGTTGATTGCACCATCGGGTCACGTTATCTGTTAGATATAAATATATATGTATATATATATATATATATATATATATATATATATATATATATATATATACATTAATATATATATGTATATGTGTGTGTGTGTGTGTGTGTGTGTGTGTGTGTGTGTGGTGTGTGTGTGTGTGTGTGTGTGTGTGTGTGTGTGTGTGTGTGTGTGTGTGTGTGTGTTGTGTGTGTGTGTGTACGCGTACACATACAAGTACACATATGCACGCACACAAAGACACACATACACATATATATTCTCAAAAAGGTAATGACAGTGAATGTATACGTAATGCTCGAGAGTGTCGCACGAAGCCTATATTGCCCAAGCAGTCCAATACAAACCCAGTGACCTCATACCCATACCTCATACCTTATACCTTCCCTTCACGACAGTCTCCCATAGAAAGAAGGGAAAGGAAGAGACGCAGATACCCCGATGCCGTAAGATGACAGTCATATACAGGCGAGATAAGCCTAAGGCGATAAACTGTAAACCTCTCATTTCTCCTCCTGGGAAATGATAGAGTGCAGGCATAAGGGGATTTGCCTCGCCGTACCTTGGCCGAAGGATCATCGCCTCCCATTTCTTTACTTCTTAACTATCGCCTTTCCTGCCCTCTCTTTCGTCTTGATAAGTTCCAGGGTTAAATGGAGATGAATACAGCTATATGGGTGATAGATAGACGGACAGATGGACAGAGAGAAGGAGGGAGGGAGGGGGAGGGAGGGAGGGAGAGGAGGGAGGAGGAGAGGGAGGGAGGGAGGGAGGGAGGGAGGGAGGAGAGAGGGAGGGGAGGAGGGAGGAGGGAGCGGAGGGAGGGAGAGGGAGGGACGGAGGGAGGAGGAGGAGGAGGGGGAGACGAGGGAGGGAGGGAGGGAGGGGAGGGAGAGGGAGGGGGGAGGAGAGAGAGAGAGAGAGAGAGAGAGAGAGAGAGAGAGAGAGAGAGAGAGAGAGAGGAGAGAGAGAGAGAGAGAGAGAGAGAGAAGAGAGAGAGGGAGAGGCAGACAGACAGACAGTCAGAGAAAGAACAGTAACTTCAAGAGAGACTAAAAGAAAAACAGCAAAATAGAGAGGAGGGAAGACAATAGACACAGGAAGGGCGGGAGACGTACCTTTAGCGTGTGTACAAAATATCATTCATGATTTTGTTGACTGGCCCGCGGGGGAGACTGTATGGGGCGAGGAAGGGAGAGAGCGAACGGGGAATGGGATAAATACAAATGATTTTGGAGAGGGGGCAGAGCGGATAGGGAGAGAGAGATCAAGGGCACGAGAGAGAAAAACTGAACAATCTCTCTCTCTCTCTCTCTCTCTCTCTCTCTCTCTCTCTCTCTCTCTCTCTCTCTCTCTCTCTCTCTCTCTCTCTCTCTCTCTCTCTCTCTCTCTCTCTCTCAAAAATATATGTATACATGCATATTCGCCTATACGCCTGCATATTTAGATTGAGCTTTTGTTTAATATAAGGAGATGCATATGACCTTAAAACTGTATAGCTCACACTCATTGTAAATAATCCCCCACCATAATCTATGATTCCGAGGTGGTAACAAGCCAGGATCTCATGAATAATTCACCAGTTATAACTTCCGCTCCAACTCCCCACCCCCCTCTCTCTTAGCCCCACCCCAACCCCCCTATTCCCTCTCACTCTTAGCCCCCACGCCCCCCCCCCCTATTTCCCCTCGAGGGCGTTACTTTTCCGAGGATGCTAATGGCCGAAGCCTTGAATGTGGAGGCGAGTAAGGCTATACTGTGGAATTTCCCTTTTCTTTCTTGCTTTCTTTTACTGTTTTCTATTTCACTGACTTTCTGTTTTTTCGCGGCCACTGATTTTTCTCTTTTCTTTCTTTTGTGCTGTTTTGTTTGATTTCTGAGTTTGTCTGTCTCACTGTCTATTTGACGAATTATCTTTAACCTGTCTCTCTCTCTCTCTCTCTCTCTCTCTCTCTCTCTCTCTCTCTCTCTCTCTCTCTCTCTTCTCTCTCTTCCCACTTCTCTCTCTTTCTCTCTCTCTCTATCCCACTTTCTCTCTCTCTCTATCCCACTTTCTCTCTCTCTCTCTCTCTCTATCCCACTTTCTCTCTCTCTCTATCCCACTTCTCTCTCTCTCTATCCCACTTTCTCTCTCTCTCTATCCCACTTTCTATCTCTCTCTCTCTATCCCACTCTTCTCTCTCTCTCTCTCTATCCCAATCTCTCTCTCTATCTTTCTATCTCTCTCCCACTTTCTATCTCTCTCTCTCCCACTTTTCTATCTCTCTCTCTCTATCTTTCTATCTCTCTCTCTATCCCACTTTCTATCTCTCTCTCTCTATCCCACTTTCTATCTCTCTCTCTCTATCCCACTTTCTCTCTCTCTCTCTCTATCCCACTTTCTCTCTCTCTCTCTCTATCCCACTTTCTATTCTCTCTATCCCACTTTCTATCTCTCTCTATCCCACTTCGTCATCTGCCTTTTCTTCCTCCATTTCAAAATGAGTTCGAAACGTTACGATCAAATTAAATGTCTTATTGAGGATGCTTTCTTTTCCTCTTTATTTACGCGTTACTCTGTGTTCATATACATACATGTTTGTATGTATTTTTTCATCTACCTCTCTATCTATTTATCTATCTGTATAAGAAAAAATAAGAGATGAAAAACACGACTAAAGAAGACCGAAAAGACTCCGAAATACAACGAAAAATTGTAGCCCATTTGCCCCCGTTCCGTTGATAAGCTCCGCCTTGCCCCCCATCCATCCCTTACGCTAATCCTGCCATTGCCGCCCATCCCGCCCATTACAGCCCATCCACCATTCCTGTCCATTCCTCCCATCTCGCCCGTTCCGCTATTCCCGCCCATCTCACCTATCCCTCCCACCTTACCCGTCCCGCCATTCCCGCCCATTCCCCTCCCACCTCACCCATTCCACCCTCCCGCCCATTTCACTTATCCCTTCCACTTAACTCATTCCTCCTCCCCCCCCCCAATTTCCCATTCCCTTCCACCTCACCCATTCCCCACCTCACCCCTCCCCCTCCTGCCCCTCCCGCCCATCCCGCCCATCCGCCCCATTATAAAAGCCAGGCCATCGCGGGAATCTGCCTCCATCCGCCGCCCGTTATCGCCGCTAATCATAATGAAGGCGGCAACGCGCGTCGTTATAAGCTTCCTCGGTAGGCGCCAGGCATAATAGGCCTATATATCTATATATTTTTATACTTCAAAGATTCATATCGTATCCACTGCTGTTATGTATAAGCCTATATCTTTAGGTTATATTTTTTCTAATATACTTTTAAGATTGATATCATATTTATTGTTATATCTAAGCCTCAAATATATATATACATGTATATATACATGTGTATATGTGGTGTGTGTGTGTGTGTGTGTGTGTGTGTGTGTGTGTGTGTGTGTGTGTGTGTGTGTGTGTGTGTGTGTGTGTGTGTGTGTGTGTGTGTGTGTGTGTGTGTGTGTGTGTGTGTGTGTGTGTGTGTTGTGTGTGTGTGTGTGTGTGTGTGTGTGTGTGTGTGTGTGTGTGTGTGTGTGTGTGGGTGTGTGTGTGTACTGTGTACCTTTAAAACTCATATCATAACCATTGTTTGCACACACAAGCCTACATATTTATGTTATACCTTAATTTCTTCAACTTTTTCCTCCGTATTTACCATTGTTTATCATCCACTACATTTAAGCGTATATTTTCTGATTTTTTTCTCTTTTCTTACTCCATTTTTTATATCACGAGAAGCCTTTCGCGTAAGATGACTGGTTTCAATCTGCGGTTTTAAGGAAAATGAGAAAGGATTATGAGGTGGAGAAGCGGAAGCAAATGACGAAAAGAGGAGGAGCAAAAAGAGATGTCAAGAAGATGAGGACTAATGATAAGGAGGAGGAGAAAGGGGAAGAAGAGAACGGAGGAGGATAAAGAAAGGAGGTAGAGAGGACGAATGTGCTGAAGAAAATTAGCAAAACTAATACAGTCAAGGAGAATTATAATAAATGAAATAGATCGCAATAAGGATAATAATCTGATAATAAAAGAACGATGGTGATGATAAAGATAAAGAAAGATAAACAAGATAAAAAAAAGATAAACAAAGAAAAAAATTAGCATAAAGATAAAAGAGAGATACAAAAGATAGAGATAAGCATAAAGATGATGAAAGATAACAAGAGATTAAGAAAGATAAACAAAGATTAAGAAAGAATAAACATAAAGATAAGAAAGATAAACAAAGATTAAGAGAATAAAGATAAAGAAGATAACAAAGATAAAGAAAAAGTAAACAAAGATAAATAAAGATAAACATCAAAGAAAGACAAACAAAGAAACCTAAACAAACAAAGATAACGTCAAAGACACAGACAAAGATGAAACAACAGACAGACTTTCCCCCACAACGAAATTCCTCCTTTATGAAGCCTCCTGGANATCACCCTCACCCTCACTCCTGGGGTATCATCAGTAGAAATTCACGGGGTGGAAAGTGGTGATGTGTGAAAAGTTACAAACTGGTTCGTG